CCTAAACCCTAAACCCTATAAGTTGCCGTGTCAGATTTGAAGCCATGCCCTTTGCTTGCAGGCATGGGCCAGCCCCAACTGCCAGGCTCTCGGAGAAAGCCTGTAAGTCACGAATTATTACTTTGTTAATTTTGTTACTATTATTATTGCTATTATTATTACTCTTATTTCTTCCATTACTATTATTACTATTATTACTTCTATTACTACTATTACTATTATTACTAATAGTTGTGTCCAGGGATGTGACCGGCATTGCTGGTGTTTTATGTTCCATGAGGAGGTTTTATTCAGAACACAGCCACATTGCTCGTGTCAGCCCCCATCAGCCCATGTTCTGAGACAAGTTGAGAAGATCTACCCATTTGTCATCTCAGGCCTCCATCTGGTGTTGGCGCGCGCTTGGCAGAATCTTCTGCCTTCTCAACATCCTGGGCACCTTCCTTGGCTTAGTGTATTCCTCCTTTGCCAGTTGTTCGCAAGCTTGTTGGTTGCTGGCACGCCAGGTGCAGCGAGCTGTAAACACGAGCCTCCTGTGCAAGGAGGCATGCGGAAGTGGAGCTGCCGCGGCGTTTCAGTAAACCCTTTGCGCGCTGCTCTGTCTGCTTGAACGTACGATGCGACAAGAGATTCTTTTCAACAGGAATAACAGGCGGATCGACTGAGTCTCTGGTTGGAGTAAGAGTAAAGCCCATGCATTGCCACAGGCTGGGTGCACGGCCACTTCGAAGCTGCAAGTCTTTGACCCGCAGCAGGAAGAAGCCCAGCTTTGCAGGCACTGCACTTGGGCACATGATTCCTGCAAGCAGCGGAATGCACAATGCAGTTTCAGATAGCTCATGATGGGGCTTTCGTTGCAAGATCACGCTCTGAAATCAACAGTTCGCAGTTGAACATAGGCGGTTGTCCAGCCATGCGAGCAGAGGAATGAGGGTCATGTAGGCATACCACGGGTAGATTTGATTTTTTTGCTGTTGTTGTCGATAGAACCGAAGCAAGTAAGATTAAGAAGAGGGTGGGGTCTGACTTGGCTGCCGCTTGAACTGTGTTAAAGCTGCTTTGGGGGAAGTGGTCGGAAGTGGAATGGCAGCTGATACCAGATAGAAGTAGATTGGGCTAGAAAAGGCTTGAAGCAGGTAAAATGCTGTTGTTGTCATTGGCCTGCTGAGTGGCTTCTCCAGGCTTGGAGATTTTTCTTTTGGAAAGTGTTGCTTAAACGGAGTGGGGGTGTGGATTTTTATCGTGTTCTCTAAACAATTAGTAATGTATTTTTCCCATGTGATCTCGCCCTTCAGCAGTTCCTCCACGTTTCCACGCTTCAGGGCTGCAACACTTGATCAATAGACTATTCTTGCCTACTTTTATGTGTCATGAGCTGGATCCAGCCAGGTTGACAATCGAAGTACACCCGACTGACTATGACAACACTTGGAGCAAGGACCAAGTACCAGCTGTTCCATGATTGGCCATGATGGTGTCAAAGTCACTCGATGTTGTTTAAATGGCATCCAAGACAAAGCCCAACAGGCCGCTACCTGCTCTTCATGACAAACGCAACCTGCAAATACCAACATGTGTACAAATGTAGCTGAGTCTGAACGTTGCCCCAGTCGGACTTGCCAAGCCCTTGACATCCTCCTGGGTTCTGCGTTCCATTCGATTGTGCGAGCGAGAACATATCGCAATGCCTTCATTGTTCATTGCCACATGACCTCGAATATACTTGTATGATACCACAACAGCAGTATACTCAAACGCATTGCTCAGAGGGAGTTCCTCTTCTTGAAGCCAGCTGTCCATGATTGGCCGGTCTCCTCTTTTTTCCCATGCGTGCGATGAGCAGGAGTTCGTGCGAATTTGGAAGGTCAACGAGCACTTGGCATAGGGCCAAGCGAAGTGTCATAGCTGTAGCACAAGAACATCACTGAATGTGCCATATTTGCAGCAGAAGCGGTGGAGATTGTTTTCAGGCTCCTGAAGAGGGTCAGAGATGTCCTTTTGGGGAGTTGTCAAAAATCAAGGATACCTTTTTAGAGGTCCCTATACTGAAAACATTTCAATTTTGGGGTCCGTACTGAGGTCCCTATTTTGGGAAACTACCCAAGGTGTACTGGACTTCAGTTTCAAATCGAGGCTTTGCTCATCTATACCAGCATACCAACTTCGATGTGGGAGACTCTAGACCTAAAATGATCTTGTAGGTCTTGTAGAGGAAGAAGCAGAAGTAGAATTCCTGAAGCCCCGTCCCCCTCGTTTTTGATGTTGGAGACTCCAACCCCGAAGGCGTGAACCGGTAGACCCCTTGTGAGTAGAATCGTTGAAGTGACACCTTATGAACCCAAAAGAGACAAGACTGATTTGACGCCGTATTTAGGGATTCTTCTTGATATCTTGAGGACATGTATGTGTGATGTACTACCGCTTTTGTCAGGATTTATCTGCAGATGCGTTGGAGTTTTGGGGCTGACGCTTTCCATATTTTTTGGGGCTCAGGAGGGAGCCTCATTACGACATTGCACATCTTAGCCCGAAAGGGACCCTGAACCTTTTTCTATGTACTGGTGTGTTGCTGAGGCCACTGCCAAGTGCGATCCACATGCGCTCGGCTGCAATGCAGCGGGCTTGTTGGAGTTCTCTGAGTAATGGGTCTTTGTTCGGTATTTGGATAGACTTTTTTTTTGTCTCTTTTCCCGCGCCTTACAAGGAGGTGCCTGACAGCAGTATTTGGATAGCAGCACTGTTGTTGCATGTTCGGTGGAGGGTTTCATACAAGTGCAAGCTGAAAATGGTAGGAGTAGGAGGAGGACTAGCAGCACCTGCTGCTGCAGCTGCTGATGCCTTGACTACTTGTGTTATCACCACCTCCGCTTACTTTGATTCGCCACTGCAACTACTGCCGACGTCACCGCCACCGCCACCGCCTCCACC